TTTGGTTAGTGAACGGCCGTTTACTGCCGAGCGTGATTGACCTGGGAGCCCACAGTTTCAAATTTACCTCGCATAGAAATGCCTTATCAACATGAGCTTCGATGTCACCGTGGTTTTGTTTTACGTGTCTGGTTAAATAATGAAAAGAACTTAACAACAAATACATGTCTTTGTCCACCTAGTTTTTATGATAATATGTGTCAATATCAAAATCAACGAGTGAGTTGGACCATTAAATTTCGAGTAGTATCAGACTCTTGGTCAATATTATTTGCAATAATTATTTCACTTATCGATGATAGTGAAGAAAGAATTATTCATTCATATGAACAATTTACTTATTTGTCAACAAGAGATTGTAAAATTAAATTTAATATTTATCTGCTTTACTCAACTCGACCAAAAAATGAAGGTAAAAATTATGCTATACAAATTGATATTTATGAAAAAATTTCATTTATCAATCGAGGAAGTTTATTGTTTCCAATAATATTTCTATTTTTACCTGTTCATCGTTTGGCATATATAGTAGACATTCCACGAACCAATGAAGACATTCAGAGTTGTTCAAATTCTCAATGTATTCGTGGAAAATGTGTGAAATATTCAAATAATCCAAAAATTGGTACCTTTTGCCAATGTAATCCAGGATGGTCTGGACGATATTGTACTATTCAACATACTTGCATCTGTTCATCTGATTCAATATGTATTGGTGTCTTAGCTAATAATCAATCTGTATGTGTTTGTCTTATTAATAAATTTGGTGATCGATGTCTTCTTGTCGATACAATTTGTCAAATAGATAAAAATTTAACGTGTCAACATGATGGTCAATGTGTTCCTGCTGATGAATTTATGATATCGACTAGAAAATTTGTATGCATTTGTCCAAAAGTTTATATTGGTGATCGATGTGAAATAGTTGATAACAAAATAATTCTATCATTTCAAAAAAGTATTGTTTTATCTCAATCAATATTTATTCATTTTATTCAAGTGATTAATAATAGTGCACCGATAAGAACAACATCTTGTTTTTATTGAACTTGTAAATAAAATTTATTATTTAGCTGTTATTCAAAAAACTTATGAACGATCAACAATAATTAATAAAGCGATAAATCCAACAGATCGTTGTCAACATATAAATGAATTATTTAATCAAACATTTGTTCAGATGCCTTTTCTTCGTCTCATCAAATATTATCATTTACCATGTCGACACTATTCATGAAATCTTTCATGTTTTTAAGATGATCTTCATATTTGATTGTGTTATAATTATGAAAAACAACGTTTAGAAAATTGTTTTGATTTTAATCATAATATGAAATTTGATTGTTTAGGACAAAGTGTCTGTATGAATGAAGGTCAATGTTTTCAAGACACTCCAGATTGTCCAGAAAGAGCAATGTGTATTTGTCCAGCATGTTTTTATGGAACACGATGTCAATTTAGTTCAAGTGGATTTGGTTTATCACTTGATCCTATCTTAGCCTATCATATTCAACCACATATTAATCTTATACATCAACCAAATATTGTAAAGACCAGTTTCACATTAACTACAATCTTTAT